TCACTCCCAGATTGGTCACTGGTACCTTATTTCGTACATTTGGTGGGATCATGTTTTCCTGGATGTTCTTGATGCTTGTGGGTGTTCATCAATGTCTAGGCATTGAAGAGTTAGGTATTTGTGTTAATCTTCACAGTCTGGGCTTCTTGGAACCTATCCTTCTTGAAATAACTTTCCAGATACTCAAATGGAATTGAGTTTTGTGGTCTGAGTCTTTGGTCACTGCAGCTGTATCAGCACTGGGTGGTGCCCCAAGCCCAGTAATGCTGTGACTCTTGCAGACTCCTGGTGGTACTGCCTTGGTGAGCTTGGGTAAGATACAAGAGAATTCCCTGGGTTACCAGGCTAAGCCTCTGACTCTCTTCCCTCACTCTCTGTGCTGGGCTGCTGGAGTTGGGGAGGAGTGATGTGGCCACTCCCTCATGGACACCAGTGCCAGGTCACACCTGAACCCAGCCCAGTCTCACCTAGAGCCCATGGTGACTGCTGCCGGCTGCCTGTGATGTTTATTCAAAGCCCAGGGGATCTTTAGTCAGCAGGTGGTGAATCCTGCCAGGACTGGGTCCTTCCCTTCAGGGCAGCATGTTTCCTTCTGTCCAGGGTGGGTCCAGAAATGTCTTCTAGTAACTAAGTCCTGGACCCAAGGGCCTCAGGAGTCTGCTTGGTACTAATGTGGCTGAGCTGGTACTCAAATTGCAGAATAAAGTCCTCCGAAGTCTTCTCTTTCCTTTCCCCAGGTGGAAGAAGACTCTCCCTGAGCTGCACTGCCTGAAGTTGGGGGGAGGGGGGACACAGGCACTGGCTTGGCTGCTATGGTTGGTGTCTCATTGGGTCATGTGCACCCCAAGTTTAAGCTTCACTAATTTCAGAAAAATAAGTGCTACAAATTTACCCCCAAGATCACTTGAAGTTTTAATTATATATGTTTACTTTATACTTACTTTAGTTTTGTGGATGTTGAATAATGAATTATTGGTTTTAATTATTTGAGTCAGCCCCTCTGATTCAAAACAGTAAAGGCTTACTTTAAAACAAAAAACATACTAGTCAACATTCATAAAAATAAATGTAAAAGAATTTTATGTTTTATATCTGGGTTGGTGAGAGGCAAAAACGTTCTGTAGAGAACATGGATTTGAGGGTATATGTGATCCTGAGAGTATAAATGTCTGGGTACAAGCAGAAATTCAAGGCAATAGTTCACACTTACCAGGTGCAAGTTAAGGGATCCACACGGTAACAGGGGTCTGAGGTAATACCTGGATTACGAATGAAACAAACGGAAAATTTCACTGAGGCAAACATGATATGAAGAAAGGGTGGAGTTGGAAAATGGGATGGCAGAGGGACCCAGAGGGCCCAGGAGGAGTGGAGGGATCTGGGCTGGTGGTTGGGGAGGGGTGGTGGCCACACCCTCCTCCTGTTGTCCCCTCCCCACCCTCAGAAACCTCTGTGACTCTCCTGTGCTCTGTGATTCAGGCCTGGGACTATAGCCAAACGCGGGCACTCTCAGCGCTCAGTTGCTTCAGGCAGCCACGCCATTCACACGATGGACAACATTCTCTGCTTCCCGAGCTGCCACACAGAGCCATGGCTGAGCTTTGGCTCAGCTGTTTTGGATATGGACCCCCAATTCGTCTTTCTGAGTGGGTTGGGGTTACTGTTTCTGTACCTGTTCTACCTGGTAATGAAATCATTTTTATCAACCACCTGGGAAAATGAAGACATCAGAAAGGTAAGAAACGTCCAAGAGAGATTCTTTGTTGTTTCACATTCCTATTCCCACGTTTCTGAACAAGTCTGGGTGGCTTAGAGAGTGATGGAACAAAGGAAGAAGTTGGGCAGGGCTCGGACCAAGGTTTCCACCTCGGGCTCCCAAGCTACCGATGTGGGTGTGGTGGAGGGCTCCAGGATAAAACCCCAAACCAGTGATGTCATGGTCCTGGGTTAGCATATTTAGAAAGTGTGGGTTCTCTGAGGGAGAACAGTCTCTCCTGACGCTTGATCTCGAGTCACATTTCCATGTCAGGTGTCACTTGACCAAGCCTTCCTTCATGTTGGGCTGATCAGGAGAGCAAAGTTGAGAGCCTGCGAGTTCTGTCCCCAGGATACAGGGTCCTCTGAGGGAGCGGTGACTGTTGCCTTCTGATTCTGTGTCCTCCTTCAGCACAGGACTTCTGAGAACATCAAGTGGGGATTTTACCAAAAAAGTCCTTCTTTGAATTTTTCAAAGAAGGAACAATTGGAAATATTTTGTCACTTTTAAAAATTGATAAGAAACGTATTTCTGTTAATTAAAATGGAGAGTCATATTATTCACGGATAATGAAAGTCTGAGCTTCCTAGAGAAGAGGAGTGAGTCTCAGCCTTTTACTCTTTTCTTTTTGTTTTCAACATCAGGGCAGAGCCAAGAGGAGAAGGAAAGGTGGGACACTGAAAGGTAAGGTTCTGTCTATGTGACCTGAGCTCTCCAAGAGGGAGCCCTTCTGTTCCTTCTGTGAGGTCCCAGGTCCGTGATCTCTGAGGATTTCACTTGCTGGAAAGCAGAGCCCTTGGAGGAGGGCTCAGAGGAAAGCAACAGGACCTGAGGCACTTCTCAGAGTCCCTGCTCTGCCCATCTGTGGGCAGGAAGCAGTGATGGACCCAGTGATGGGCAAAGGTATTCCGCAGTAGGTGGCCACGTGAGATGTCAAGGAAGACTAGCGGTTGATTTGGAGTCAGAACTTCTGTCTCCTGACTTTGTATATGTACTTCGACTTCCTGGGTACTTAGCTTCCTCTTTGAGGTAACCACTGATGTATGTATGTGCTTCATGTGGTGGTTTTCAGCATCATGTGGGACAATGTATGGGAAAGCACTTTATAAATGAGGCCACATACACATGTGAACCTTGTTAATATTATTAACCACTTGATCTTGTCTGCTGATTTTGGGGCTATCAGAGTTTAATATCCCAAGGGTCTCCCATAAAGGGACTCCTGTATGATTCTTATGCTTCTGCCTTCCTTACATATGACTTAATCTCCCGGTTTTCCAGGTCAGAGAACTCACCAGCGCAAAGGAGAGGAGGAAAGCAAGCTGCTTTCTATTCTGATAAGGTGATTAATTTTTCCCCTTTCCTGGTCCCTTTTTAAAGCGTGTTCAATGCATTTCAGGGATTCAGTGCGCCTTGCTGTAGTCATGGGAGGGGGTAGCTATGGGAACAGGTTTGCGAATGAAGTCCTTGGGGAGAGGCTAGAGAGTATATTGTGAAGTCATGGGTGGGGGCAAGGTGAGGGGGGTAGCAGGCTTCAGCTGGCCCCACCCTATCTAGGCTAGCAGGCACCCCTTTCCTTGTTCTGGTCCTGGCTGCAGCTTTGTACCTCCCGTCTTCTGCAGCCCCTGGGGTGACAATCATGATACCATGAGCTTTCGTCAGCTGTTATGTCCAGATGCACTCTGTGATGTGTGCAATAGCACAACTACTGAGATCATGAAAGTGCTGTTGCAACAGTCCCTGGAAGATGCTTCTCCTTCTGTGTCACTTTTAGCTTATCCAGTTTCTGTGACAGAGTCATCACATACTTTCTCCTCCACCCCGTCAGCAAGCCCTCTAGGAAAATGAATACCAGCCCCTCTGCCTGAGCCTTCTCCACCTCCCACCTCCATTCTCTTACCTGACCTGATGACTCCCTTACCTGACTTACCTTCACCCTCACCACTGGATGACCCTCTGCCTCCAGAGCCCATTTCTCCCTCGAATTCCACATCTCTAGTGAACCCTTCTCCACCCCAGCCACTTGCCTTTCCCCCTCTCCCACCACATCACACTCAGGGAGCAGATCCTGTTCTCCAACCAGAGGCCACTTTGTCTGTAAAGACCATCTTTGCATTTGACCCCATCCTCTCCCAAGACATCGGCACCTTACGAAATTCATCCCTGGCAATGGATCCCACTGATGCCCATGCTCGTCACCATGCACTGCCAACCCTGTCTGCTTCACCATCGCCAGACGGCACCTTAACTGTGACTCAATCGAAATCAATTTCCATCTTATTGAAGCCTGTTCTGGAGATGTCATCTCCATATAGCACTGATGAATTGTCCACTTACGTCCCAACAATCAGAGGCATTGACTCTTCAAGCCTTGCAATTTTAGAATTATCCTGGTGGCAGCCTCATGCCCAGGACTTGTTCCCCTCCAACTTGGCACCATGTGACTTCAAGCAAGAGCTTCCTGCCCCCGACTCTTCTGAGGCCTCTTTCGTGGGAGACTCTGTAGCCAACCTTGTAGAACCTGGTAGCCTCTCTTTTTTCAACCCTTATCTTCTGGCACTCTTGGAGAGACAAGTTAAAAAGAGGAGTGATTTCCTGATGTGGAAGGAAAAGGGAAAGAAAATGGGATCTTTTCCAAAGCAACTTAAGTCAGACAACCAACTAAATTCTTCAGCCCAACTGTTAGTGTCAACTGCTGATAAATATGACTCAGCAGTTTCCTGCCTTTTGTGGACCAGCAAAGACAAACCAGAGGAGCTGCATGTACATCAGCAGCTCCTATATTCTAAGACCTTTGAGGACAATTTAGAGCAAAAATATGTACAGCTCTTCTGCAGTCTCCCGTCTCTGCACAGTGAGTCCCTGCAGTCTACTGTCCTTATCCTGGGTGGCTCTTCCTCAACCCTTGTGTTCTTCAATGGAATTTCAAATACCTCTGTAGCCCAAGAATCCCCAGTACTTCCTCATCCCCAACCTCTGTCCTTGCCTGAGGCCCAATCTCAACCTTTGCCTCAAACCCTGCCTCCATCTCAGTCCCTACCCTTCATTCAAGTCCAATCTCAGGCCCAACTTCAATCCCCATTCCCAATCCTATCACCTGATTCTCTATCCGAGATTAGGATCTGTGGAGTGTGTTTTCATAAACCACAGAAGGAGGCACAGAGTCTTATGCCATCTGAAATTCATCACCTAGAATGGAATGTGTTGCAGAAAGAACAGGAAATTGTGTGGGGTTTACCCTGTGTGGTCAAGAAATCTCAGAAAGACTTTTGTCCTCCAGCTCCCAACCTTACACTAGTCAGCCAGTCCTCCAAGGCTCATGTTCCAATCTCTATCCTTCCTGGAGATCTTCCTCTCAGCAGTGAGCTTCGGAAGAAACTAGAGTACCACCTTCGAAAGAGGCTCGTCCAACACCGGTGGGGCCTGCCCCGCAGGATCTATGAGTCTTTGTCACTGCTAAATCCTCAGAGAAAAATTCCTGAGACATCTGAATCAAAGTGCCCTTATGGACTCTCATGGATCTCTTTCTTTAAAAGTCAAAGCAGTAAAGATCTAGAGAATTTTGGATTGAGTCAATCTGGAAGGTTCCATGAGAGATGCTCAGAAATGCTTTCACTAAAGAAGGATGTGAGGAAGGATCAGGGACATAACCTAGAGAATGGCCCAAAAGATCATCTGTTGAGTGACCCAGAGAGGTCTTCGGATAAGGGTCTAGGGTCTCACTCTGTGAAAGATGTAGAAAGTCACATGGCAAGTCTTCCGGGGAATAATTCAAGGGCCTTAAGTGTGAGCCTAGGTCCAAAACAACTTGAAAATACCCTGACTGTACAATTGAGCAAGAAATTTGAGGAAATCAATGAGAGTCAGGTTTCTAGGACTGTGCATAATTCACGTTATTCTATCAAGGACACAGAGCCTCTTCTAAGAAATCCCACAGCCAAATAAAACACAGAAATTTGGCATCATTGGTGGGTGCGAACCACCACCTGAATACTTCCCAGGAGGTTTGCTTCCTTGGCTCCAGCAAGCAAGAGATGTTGGAAGCCCACATTAAAAGTTTTCATATGAGGATGATATGGGGTCTTTCCCCCCAAGGTCCTTGAATCCATACAGCTCTTTAACTCAAAGAAGGACTCATTCAAATCTTTACCTAACTTTACCTCTTCAATCAACCTTATTTCTGGGGTGGATTCCAAAGATGGAGCTTCCAGGCCCCTTAGAAGAAGCTCCAAAGCTTTTTATGAAGAAAAGGTGAGAACAACAAGTTCAGTTGCCAGCCTGGATCATGTTCTCCCTGCCACCTCACTTGTGGGCAAAGGAGGACAGGGAGTCTTAAGACAATCACCATGTGATACGAACCATGAGCTTACAGAGAACGTCCAGACAATTGAGGATGGCAGACAGACTTTTCTTCCCCCCCTCACAGCAGCATAAACAAAGCAAGTCAGAAGCAGTCTATACTAACCAATGGATACAGGCCAAAGCTGCCCACAAAGCAAGCTGGAGCCGGACATGAGCCAGTGGATGAGAAAATGAGTTCCAACAATGGAGCAGCAAGGCTTCAGGGCAAAAGGATGAAGAATCTGGAACATTTTTCCATACTCAACAGGTCCAAGGAGATATTCAAGGCAGAGGAGCTTTGTGCTCTTCAATAACAATCTAGTAACGACTTGACAACTAGTCAGTCAGAAAGCTCCCCAGTGCTAAATGTGTTCCATTTCATTTATTTCTGCTTTCACCTTTGTTATTTGTTTTCTTCTGCTAGCTTTTGGTTTGGTTTGCTCTTCCTTTTCTAGTTCCTTGAGATATAATATTAAGTTGTTAATTTGTGGTCTTTCTGACTTTTGGATGTGGGCACTTAAGGCTATGAATTTTCCCCTTAGGGATGCTTTTGCTGAATCCTGTAGATTTTGATAGCTTGTGTCCCCTTTGTCATTCAGGTCAAGGCATCTTTTGATTTCCATCTTAATTTCACAGATCAATGATTATTGACCCGATAATCATTCAGCAGCAGGTTGTTTCCATGACTTTGTGTAGAATTGAGTGTTTCTCTCGAAATTGATTTCTAGTTTTATTCCACTATGGTCTGAAGAGGATACATGGTATGATTTTGATTTTAAAAAATTGGTTTTGTCTTGTTTTGTGGCCTAAGATATGATCAATCTTGGAGAATGTACTGTGTGCTGATGGGAAGAATGTATATTCAGTAGTTCAGGGGTAGAATGTTCTGTAAATGTCTGTTAGGTCCATTTGTTTTAGGGTCACATTTAAGTCCAGTGTTTCTTTCCTGCTTTGATGATCTGTCCAGCTCTGGCAGTAGAGTGTTGAAGTCCCCGGCAATTACAATGCTACTATGTATTTCCTTGCTTAGCTCTAGTAGAATTTGTTTTATGTATCGGGGAGCTCCTGTGTTAGGTGCATATACATTTAGGATTGTTATGTCTTTTTGTTGAATTGTTCCCTTTACCATTATATTGTGACTATCTTTGTTTTTCTTTACCATTGTTGATTTGTCTGATATGTGAATGGCTATACCTGCTCTCCTTTGTTTTCCATTTGCGTGGAATATATTTTCCATCCTTTCACGTTAGTCTGAGTCCTTATGGTTTAGATGTGTTTCCTGGAGACATCAGATACTTGGGTTGTGTTTTTTCATAAATTCAGCCAACCTATTTATTTTTATTGGTGCATTTAAAATATTCATGTTGAGAGATAGAATTGATATGTGGGATGCTGTTCTGTTGATCATATTGGGTAATACCTTATTGCTTTGTTTTCCCCCTTGTGCTATTGTTTTATATGAGTTGTGAGCTTTACCTTTTTTGGGTGATTTTACACTGGTGGGTATCTATTGTGCTGATTCATGTATAATGCAGTTCTGAGTATTTCCTGCAGGGCGAGTCTGGTCATGACAAATTCCCTCAGTCTTTGCTTGTCTGGAAAGACTTAATTTCTCCATCAGCTGTGAAACTTAAGTTTTGCAGGATTCAAAATTCTAGGCTGGCAGTTGTTCTGTTTAAGATTGAAGATGTGTCTTTACTCCCTTCTGGCATGTAAGGTTTCCACTAAGAAATCTACTGTTAGCCTGATGAGTTTTCCTTTTTAGGTCAGTTGTTGCTTATGTCTAGCTGCTCCTTCATTTTGAATTTCCTCCTTCATTTTGACTTTGACCAGGTTGATTACTATGTATCTTGGAGATGTCCTATTTGCTACGAATCTTCTGGTGTTCAATGACTATCTTGTGTATGGATGTCTGGATTTCTGGTGATACCAGGGAAGATTTCTTCAATAATTCCCTCAAATAGATTTTCCATGCTTTTAGCTCTTTCTTCTTCTCCTTAAGGGATACTTATAATTAATATATTAGTTCATTTTGCATAGTCCCATATCTCTCTAAGTGATTGCTTAGCCTTTTTTGTTCTCTTCTCTGCCTTTTTAAATGACACAGTTTGCTCAAGAACCTTGTCTTCAAGCTCTGAGGTTCTTTCTTCTTGGTTTAGTCTATTGTTGAAGCTTTCTGCAGTGTTTTGAAATTCCCTAAACGACTCTTCCATTTCTTTAAGTTCGATTATATCATTTCTTGTCTAGCTCCTTAGTGACTTTTTCATTAGTTTCCCTGAAATAATTTTTTTTTGGCTTCTTCTTGTTGATTCTCAACTTTTTCTTCATTCATCTTATTTGCCACCCAGATTCTGAATTCCATTTCTGTCATTTTTGCAATTTCCTTGCTGTTGGAGTCCACCACTGTAGCTACATTGTGATCCCTTGGGGGTGTTGAACTGTTTTGTTTTTGCATGTTTCCAGGGTTCTTTTGATGGTTTCTTGTCCTCTGAAACCTCATTTCTTGACTCAGGGCTAATAGGTTTGTAGGGCATCTGTTATTTTTGGGGAACTCTCCTGCTTAATTAGACAAAGGGGAGCTTCCTATATGGTGCTTTTTTCCTACTCTGGAATGTTGACATGGCAGGGGAAGGGCATGTGCACTACAAGCCTGTAATACAGCTGTTCTGATTTTCCTGTTCTCCTGTGGTTGCCATTGCTTAAGCCTGTGCTGGATTATCTTCGTGCAGGGTGTTGGGTTGTTTCCCAGATAGTTGTAGGACATTTGAGTTGTTAGCCGGATGAGACCCTCTCCATGGAGGGTGGCATTGTGGGGAGTTGCTCTGTCCGGCGTCTCCCCACAGAGGTGACAGTGGCAGCTGTGTGAGGCTATCTAGATAGTGGTCATGAGTTCCCAGACTGTGGGCATTTGCTCAAACTAGGTCTTGGTATAATGACGGCTTGAGGCTGGGGGGACCGTGGCTGGGTGTTGGACCTTGGAGCAGTTCCACCGGCCCTGTAGCAGTGAGGGAGACTCAGGGGTGGTGTCTTGGGGTCTAGGTGCAGTGCTGGAATGTCGGAGGTGGCGTCCTGGGCCTGGCAGGAGCTCTGGAGACACAGGGGTGGAGCCAGAAGCAGGGCTGTGCCGGCAGTGAGCTGATGCCACCTGGAGGCAGAGGCAGGGCCAAGCAGGCGGTAGGCTATTCAGACCTGGAGGGTGGGAGCCAGGGCCGAGGAGGTGGTGGGCTCTGTCACAGGCTTGGGGATCACACTGTGGAGTTCTCCCCGCCCCCCCAGGACCCGCTGAAGAAGTCCCCTGAATCTTCCCAGATCAGAGTCTGTAGTGCCCCAGCCAATCCCTCTGCTCAGATCCTGCTGTGCTGGAGGGGAGGGGCACTTGGCTTCCAGGCACAGGGTATGGTTCAGAGAAGCCTCCGCTTAGTCTGCTCCCTCTGCAGCCCAGTGACGTGAAGGCTACTGCAGCAAAACTGAGTCCTGTGCCAACCTGACGCCATGCACCTGAAAGCACAAGGTGGCATCAGCTGCAGAAACCGGGATTGGCTGCCACCAGATCCTTACTGTACCTGTTGTTCAGTGCACTGATTCTGCACAGACTCTAGGCAGGTCCCGGTCCATCCTGACAGCTCCTGTGGTGGTTGAGGGAGCCTGGCCACAGTGCCTGTGGGGTGAGTGCAGCACCCCAGCGCTCTCTCCTCCTGTTCTTCCCCACCTGTGGTTGCCTCCTACTGATCACCCTTCAGATAGAATGTATCGTCCCCTCACCCTTTTCATACTGAGTATCCTGCATTGCTTCTCTGTGATTTTGTAATCTTCCGTCCGAGCTATCCATAGGTAAGCATCTGCCTGCAATTTGCACTCCCCAAGAGCGGCACGCTGGGGGCTGCTTCTGGCCCACCACCTTCCAGATCCCCAGGGATAAATGTAAAAACAGGTAAAGTAGAAATGACCCTGACCACTGCAAGTTCCCCACCAAGAATATCAGTTCCCTGAGATCTTAAACCATCAGACCTTAAAAATCAGCTATTGAGTGAATTAAAATTTAAATTGGAGAACAGGGAGCATAGCCAAGCTCAAAGCCATCCCACTGACATACCCCTTCCCTCAGTTAACTTGACTTCCAAGGCCTCACTGACTTATTCCCTGGGCAGCAGCCTGGCAGCTCTCCAGGTGCAGCCAGTCCTCTTGGAGGACAGAGGGATCTGCATGGAGCAGAGGCAGGACCCCTGGGTCCCTAAGCATGTCTTATGGAAGTGCCAGGATGAGAATTTCCCACCAGCCGCAGAAAGAGTGAGCCCTGTGGGATTCAAAGCAAGAGATATTGGTAGAGGGGAGGTAGGGTTAGGGACATTCCAAGTTTCTCTGGAAAAAGGCAGCTCCCTGTCATCACCTGTGCAGAACAGAGGCCTGGGTAAAAGTAGAGCTGGCTTTGCTGGGACTACTGAAGCTCAGAAAATGATAACCCACATTGGGAAGTTCCTAGAGGAGAAACTGGGGCATAGGCATGGAATAGATACTGCTGGCCCCAAAGAGCCCCTTATGTCCCCAACTTATCACAAAACAGAACTGCAGGTTCAGGCAGAGCCCACCCATGACCACCCCCTGCAACAACATGGCTCCCTTTGGTAAAGTGACACGTACCAAGTCTGGTTGCCAAAAAGTTGTCTTTGCTGGCCAGAGTTTTCTTACAGGGATTAGACAGATCAGAGACAAGGACAGACAGCCCAGAAAGGTGTGGCATTGAGTGCCAGCTATTACAGCGAGCATTCCCCACCCACGCCCCGCAGGGAGCCTGCACCCCATGCAAGCCCCACCTGTAGGTGTCTGGTTAGCCAGGTGCCTCCAGCCGCCCCTTCCACTGCTGAAAACACTGTGCACAGAGATTTGTCCCCACTCTCTACCCAGAGAATGCTTCTGAAGCATTTCCAGGGAGGAAAATTCACCCCCCAAAACAATAATTCATTCCTTGTTGAGAAAGAGTGGTGTCTTCTCTGTGTGCTGTGTTAGGGGCATAGGTTTGGGTTAAGGAGTGAAGCCCAGGCTAACTGACGGGGAGCCTGGTACTGTGTCCATGAAGGTTTCCGATTGATGCGTTTCAGCAGAGCCCAAAGTTCAGTCATCTACCAAGTGATAGAGACAAAAAAGACAGCCAGCAATCTGTTATGTTTTTTTGTGGATTCTTCTAGTAAATGTTAGATTTTCAATGGAAATTGCAAATGAGAAACCTCTCTCTAGTTTTTGTTTTTTCCCAGTTCCTGAATCTAGATTTTTTTTATTTTCTTTCTCTTACCCCCCGTCCCCAGCTTTCCATTTCTTTTGTTTTTTTATTTTATTGTGGACCCTCAGTATATGTCAGTGGGTGTTCCTCTTACCCTGCTTATGTTTTGAAGTCATTCTCTCTTTTTTTTTTTGAGACAGAGTCTCACTCTGTTGCCTGGGCTACAGTGTCGTGGCGTCAGTCTAGCTCACAGCAACCTCAAACTCCTGGGCTCAAGCAATCCTCCTGCCTCAGCCTCCCGAGTAGCTGGGTCTACAGGCATGCGCCACCATGCCTGGCTAATTTTTTCTATATATGTTTAGTTGTCCAGCTAATTTCTTTCTATTTTTAGTAGAGACGGGGTCTCGATCTTGCTCAGGCTGGTCTCAAACTCCTGAGCTCAAGCAATCCTCCCGCCTCAGCCTCCCAGAGTGCTGGGATTACAGGTATGAGCCACTGCACCTGGCCTATTTTGAAGTCTCTTACTCCAGAGAACCTCAGTTCAATACTCTCAGAGTTCTATGGCCACTGTTGGTTTCCAGAGTTTAAGAAGCCTGTGGTGGCTCAGGCCTGTGATGCTAGCACTATGGGAGACTGAGTTGAGAGGATATTTTGAGCTCAGGATTTCAAGGCCAGCCTGAGCAAGAACAAGACTCCGTCTCTATTAAAAATACAAAGAATTATCTGGGTGTGGTGGTGATCACCTGTAGTCCCAGCTTCTTGGGAGGCTGAGCCAGGATCACTTAAGCCCAAGTGTTTGGCTTGCTGTGAGATATGTTTACACCATGGCACTCTAGCTTAGGGAACAAAGAAAGACTATCTCAAAAAAAAAGAACTCTGGGGGAAGTGTGCTTAGAAGTAATCATTTCGGTGTGCCACAGGAGTGATTTCTTTCTTTCTTTTTTTTTTTCTTTTCTCTCTCTTTTTTTTTTTTTAATTTTTCTTTCTTCCCCTCCTGGCCTTGTCACCTCTCCACAGGAATGATTTCTTTCTCCCCATAACCCTGAGGATCAGGATCCTTGTGGCAAAGCCATAGACATCACCAAAAGAAGAAAAGACATTTGTAGGGTCCTAGTTAGGGATAGGGTTAGGGATAGGGGTAGGGTAGTAGTAGGGTACAGGAGGTAGGGGTTAGGGTTAGGGCTAGGGCCAGGGCTGGGGTCAGGGTCAGGGTCAGAATAGGGTTAGGGTTATGGTCAGGGACAGGGTCACAGGGTCAGGGTTAGGGTCAGGGTTAAGGTTAGGGGTTAGGGTTTGGGTTCAGAGTCAGGGTTTGAGGGTTAGGGTTAGCAGTCCGGGGTCAGGGTTTAGGGTTGGGGGTTTAGGGTTAGGGTGTGAGGGTGAGGATGTTAGGGTTAGGATTAGAGGGTTAGGGCGAGAAGGTTAGGGTTAAGGTTGTGGTTGGTTTGGGGTTGCAGTTAGGGTAGGATTGGTGTTGGTGTTAGGGTTTAGGGTAAGGGTTAAGGCCTAGGGGTTAGAGCTAGGGCTAGTGTTTAGGTCTTAGGGGTTAGGGTTTAGGTTTTAGAGTTTAGGTTTAGGTTTAGGGGTTATGGTTAGGGATTACGGGTTAGGATTAGGGTTGGGGTTAGGGATTAGGGATAGGGTTTGGGGTTTAGCGTTTAAGGTTGGGGTTAGGTGCATGCTGGTTTTCCAGGGTTGCTCAGGATTGGCCATGGGAGAGAGCCCCAGGGAGGAGGGGCCTCACTCTGTGGTGCTTCTCTTCTCCCTCCCTTCTCTTTTGCACTGGATGGATTAATAAAGCCCTTTCTGGAGTGATGTGGCTCTCTACCTCTCAGTCGCTGCTTTCCTGGATCTCACACCACACATCAGATCCTGAACAGGAAGTTGCTGAGTGTGGCTCAGAACACTCCAGCAAGTCCAAATCCTGTGTCAGGGACTCCAGCATCCGGGCGGGTGCTTGGGCCCTTTTGTAGGAGGTCTGTATCTTGTGGGGGGCACTCTTTGTCCTGACATGTGGCTGGAGGAGCAGGGCATGCCCAAATCGTGGCAAGGCCTCCGCATGGAGTCAGTGGTGAGCAGGGCAAGGCCTCAGAGCCCAGCTGTGGCCCTGCACAGCCCTGTCGGCACCAACAGACACGCAGGTCCTTGCCGTTGTTTGTACTTGAACATCAAATGTTCCCTAGAAACACACTCAGATGCTCTCTGTCCTTCCCCCCAGACACTGTCAACCCCAGCAGGGACCAAATCTGGAAAGTGTTCCAGCTGTTGGTCTTGGTTTTTAATCACAACACCGTTCATTGTTTTATCACGTCTATATACTTATTTAGAAAAAGTTGAAAACCAGAAAAATGGGAAGGAAATGTTAACATAACTCTAAAAAATCAAACCTGTAGAAAGATGTCAACTTCGCATTTTGTGTTTTTGTGACCTGTGTGAGGAGATGCTCCTGCATAGACTTT